AGAAATCAATATACTTAGTCCTTGTTTGGAAGCCAAGTTTTTGTCAAGTTTATCTGCTACAAGTTTTTTAAAAACTTTAGTTACAGTAACCTCAAAAACTTTCCAAAGTTTTAAACTATACATTTCAAAATATTTAAAAAAAAACACATTTCAAAAATTTTTTAAAAACTTCTACAGTAAGCTACAATAAGGGCCTGTTTGGAACCGATTTTTTTTGGAAGTTTGTCTAAAACTTTACTGTAGTGCACTGTAGAAGTTTTTGAAAAAATTTTGTAGAAGTTTTTGTAAGGCGAAAACTTTTTGTAAAAGTTTTTGTAATGTAAAAATTGTGTAGAAGTTTTTGTAAGGTGAAAAATTTTGTTTTCCTTTTCTTTTTTTTCCTTTCATTTTCTCTTTTCTTTCTTTTCTCTTTCTTTCTTTCCTTTTCTTTTCTTTCCTCTCTTCTTCTTCTTCTTCTTCTTCCTTCCCCCTCCCCCTCCCCCTCCCCCGTTACCTCTGCCGCCCACCTCCAGCACCACCTCTTTTCTCTTTTTTTTTTTGCTTTTCTCCTCTCCCCCCTCCCTCTCCCTCTCCCTCCCTGCCACACCCTTTCCTCCCCTCTCTCCGCCACCCCCAAACTTTTTCACCATCCCTTTCCTCTCCCCTCTGCCTGCCATCCCTCTCTCTCCCTCCCCCGCCATCCCCTCTGCCCACCATCCCTTTCCTCCCCTCTCCCCCACCACCCTCCTCTGCCCGCCAGTGTCACCGCCTGCATCATCTCCATCCGGAAGCCCGGCGAGTTCTCCAGTTCCGGCCACTGCAGAAGTTCCAACCACCGGTGCCAATGTTCCTTCCACTTCTTTCCACTTTCTGTGTCTTCCTCTTCCAACGACAACAGTTGTGTGGTGCAGGGCGGAGCGTGGTGGAGGGGATGGAAGTGCAATTGCCGGAGTTCTGACTTGGATTGCAGCGCCCAATTTCTGAACTCCCAATTCAAACAATGCAGCTTTTCGAATCAGTTTCGCAAAGCTTGGTCAACTCCGGACAACAACAGATTGTTAGCTCTAGCTTTCTGTGCTTTGAAATAAAAACCGAGAAAGAGTCTTCTATGTATTAAAGCTTTTTGAATGGGTTTCACCAAGGAAATGGAGAATCGCTCAACAAGTGCTCCGTAATGATACTTACTCCGGCGAATTGCTTGGTCGACTCTGGACAGCTTTTTGTGCTTTGAAAGAAAAACCGGGAAGAGTTTTGTGTGCTTTTTGTGAATTGAAAGGGAAAAAACCAGCTTGGACGACGTCGTCTTGTTAAAATGTTTTAGAAAGGGACGAAAGTTTTGGGAGAAGTTTTTGGGTTCCTGTAGCAAAAGTTATTAAAAAACTAGTATAATACAAATTTGCTCAAAAACTAGGCTTCCAAACAGGCCCAAAGTTTTAGACAAACACCTAAAAAACTCACCTTCCAAACGGGGGATTAGACACATAATTAGACAATAACGTTAAAATTCAAATTATAAAGTCCCAATGACATCATGCAATTCTAATACAACTAATTTATACGAACCCACACGAACAGTATCTAAATATAATATCTCTGTTACAAGGTTACAGACTTGCATGGTGAATTACGTACAATGATTTGAGTTGGCGTTTTCTATCCAAATGTTTAAAATTTGGATCAATATAGTCCCATAAATTTTGAATAGTTATATATAATGTTTTAAGATAAAATAAAATAACATTTGAATCAAATATATGGCATATATATATATATTCTAAAATCCCTAAATAAATCGAAACATGGAAAATCTGCACTTAAACCATAGCAGTGTCGCAAACAAGTTTAGTATGCCACATATCAGATCTTGACAACTAAAGTTCAAGAGAAAAACTACGCAGCATATAAAAGTAAATTAATTTAATCTAATCACAAGACTCAGGGCCCGAAGAAAATTATTGCTTGTCGGGACGATCTAGGATAATTTATCAAGGTTTGAGCTACCTCGGCAAATCACCCAGTGTAGAGCATCTTCTCATCAATCCATCACTTTCAATAACTAATTTTTCCAAAATATTTGCATTGGAAAGTAGAAATTTTATTAGCCCAAGAGAGAATACCAGCTGTTCTTGTTCTCTTTTGTGTACGAGTCTTTTTCTCAAAGTTGTTGGACATCCATCTTTGAGACGTCGGGAATCTCTCCCAATCGATGTCCACGGATTTAACAGCTTCAGAGGATAAAACAAGGAACCTTCTTAAGAAATATGATTGATTATGAAGTACTCCATTCACCATCAAATTAATGTTGAAGAGAGAAGAAATACAACGGATCTGAAGGAAGTGCAAGAATTCATGGACCACAAACAGTTGGCAAGCTAATCCTCTACAGGGAGTTAAAAAGAAAGTTCATTTTCCAGCTTCTTGATTAAGAGGGTGATATTTATGGTTCCAAATTAAGCAGCTAATCAATTTTCAACCATGATAACTCCTACAGTTAAAATCAAACTCCACTTAGAACCCGTAAACTATAAATGCATTCTCACTTTAGTTCTTAAATTTCATTTTTAGATACCTTACCCTTTAAAATATAAAATTCCTTCACTTGGCTTAAACTTTAATTTTGGGCACTTTGCCTAGATGAGAAACAACACCTTGAAGACGAGTAGACGACAAAGTTTTTTACCAAAAAATAAAAATAAAAAATTAGAGGATACTCGCTCTATAAACTACGACATGGAAAATAGGATCTATTCAGCACATTGTGCAAGAAACCAAGATTTTGCAAGCTCGTGTGTAATTCGCGTTCATTAAATTGCAAGAGCATTAAATTTCCACCACAATCGCGGAGCAAAACTGCCCAATAATTAAATTGATTAGGCTAGTTGAGTTTATAATCAAACTTTCAAGCTCGATTTGTGTTAGCATGATGAGCCATCTCCAGGGATTCCAACGCGGCACAAGTAGATAATATCTTCTCAATCGAACCCCCCCTGCAACCGCGCGTACATGTTTTACTGATAATCTCCTGAGAGATTTCCATTTGATCATGCTAGAAGTAGATCGAATTTCCCACCTTTTCAATCTCAACGATTTCGAACTTGAAGCAAGGAATAGATGGCTTGGCAACACATAATCATCAGCCCTGTATGCATGGCTGCTGTTTAAATTTAAAGAAAAGTTCTCAACATTGTTTTCGGAAACAAATTCAACACAGCGATCAACACATTTTCCAAAAGTTACTTTCCTGGCTTTTCTCCTTTGAACTTCTTGCTTCTTTTGCAGCCGTAGCACTCCCACCGCTGGGCGGCCAGGGTGTCTCTCGGGTTTTTCGTTAGAGCTCCAAGTTGTATTTAGGCTATGCCTTTGGAACTACGGTTGTTTGCCCTTTGGCCATTTACTTTGGAGAGTCCAAAACCTAAGTCACACAAATTTGTGGGTGTTAAATTTTCAACTCTTAACAAGGTGGGTCGTTGTAGTATAGTGGTGAGTATTCCTGCCTGTCACCCGGGTGACCCGGGTTCGATCCCCGGCAACGGCGATTTACTTTTACATCCATCATGCATTTTTCTTTTGTAGGAATTGAGAGTGTGTTTGATAAATTTAAAATTTAAAGTGATAAAACTGAAGTCTGAAATCTAAAATTTGAAATATGAATCCATTAAGTTATTACATTATTAAGTTGTAAATCGATACATTTGAGTATATATCACATTAAATGATAAGTGAATAGTTTATCACTTTTTTTTGAAGCAAGTTTTGCCTACAAAATTTAGTGTCACTTAATTAATTTAGATATTCAATTTTTCTTTATTAAATACATCTAAACATATTAAGATTCGAATCCATTAAATTTAAATATTAAATTAAGTTATCAAATAAGGCCTAAGTCCGGATTATTGTAAGTTAGTGACTATATACTACTACTTTTTTTTCCTATACACCCCCAAACAAAAACTGTCTTTTCTGCTGGTTATCTGCATTCTGGTGTTGGGTCTAAACTCCTGGTTAGGTTATGCCTTGGGAACTACGTTGTTTCCCCTTTGGCCATAAAACCTAAGTCAAACAGTTTTGTGAGTGTTAAATTTTCAACTTCTAGCAACAGGGGTCGTTGTAGTATAGTGGTGAGTATTCCCGCCTGTCACGCGGGTGACCCGGGTTCGATCCCCGGCAACGGCGATTTGCTTTTGCACCACATGTGCTGTCTTTTCATATTATGCTGGTGTTCTAGCCCTCAACATTTTTTTCCTTGGGTGAAAGAGATTGTTACACATGTAGTGGTTTTTCCTTGTCAGTCACAGGGGTCGTTGTAGTATAGTGGTGAGTATTCCCGCTATAGTGGTGAGTATTCCCGCCTGTCACCCGGGTGCCCGGGTTCGATCCCCGGCAACGGCGATTTGCTTTTGCACCCCATGTGCTGTCTTTTCATATTATGCTGTGTCTAGCCCTCAACATTTTTTCTTGGGTGAAAGAGATTGTTACACATGTAGTGGTTTTTCCTTGTCAGTCACAGGATTTTTTTGCTGATACATTGATCTGGAACTGAGTAGATAACAGCATAAACTAATGTAACATCAGATCAAGTGAATTAATCTCATCTAGGCTATCCTGATCTTATTCCAAAAAAATCTAGTTTATGACATAAATCTGGGAACATGGCTTGCAGACATAAGACACTCCACTGCATATCCCATTGAAATTAAAGCTGGAGACGACAATGGCCCTTTATTATGTGAAGGTCTTTTAACACCAAGCATAAGTCAGAAACATTTTTTTATCATGAAGATTTATTCTTAAGGTTTGCTGAAAGGGAAGAGAAATTACGCACCAATATAAGTTCCTATTTTTCTTCTTCGTCCAGGGTTTGTTTTATTTCAGTTTTGCTTTTTTGATGTGTGCTCCAATTTGTAGAAAAAAATTGGAAAATCTCCTTATCGATATCATTCTCACCTAGTCAATAGCAAAGAATATTGACACGGAAATCTGAAAGTAAGCAGCAGCACTAGCACATATAACAGGTCGGTATGCATTAGTTAAGTTCCAGAGAAATACTATGCTCTGAGAGAGGATCTTTTAATGTAAATGTAAGGACACTAGAAGAATATGTTGACATGGAAATCTACAATTAAGCAAGAGAACTGCCGGAATGAATGATCTCAATGGTTGCTCTTGGAAGGATATAGGGCTAAGTAGATAAAGATCAAGTAATAAAATCCTGATCTTTTTCCAACAGAATCTTTTATTTTTTTTCAATAAAAGCATGCAGACGCCACTCCATTGTCCCTTTGTTTATCTTCCCCACCATTTCTTATGACTATTTTTCCCTGTTTCAGAGTTGCCAAGCTTCTTGATTGTGGTTTTTGCTACCATCAACTTATTCTTGAAGTCTTTCTTCCAAGTTTTAAACTTGAACTTCAGTCTCTCGAGCTCCTCTTCTGGATTGGTGCTAGAAGCCATCCTTCCAGGTTCAATGTGAATAAAGATCCAGTATCTTCATCCAAAATCCCTTTCTCATGATCAATGAGCTGATCAGAATTTGATCTGCCATTTAATTGAAACCTAGATGTAGGTGATGGATCAGGTGCATCTTCGTCCTGAATTTCAGGTAAAGCCAAAAGTAGGCCGAGTTTGCCCACAGCATGTTTAGAAGAGCTCTTTTTAGCTGCTAGACTCATCTGCAATAACATACAAACCAAGATGCTTGTCATCAGAAACATTTGCCTACTTTCCCTCAGTTTCTTGATGCATAAAATTTTCATAGGGCATCATTTTCTCAGAAGGCAGCCTAAGGGAGGGAGTTGTCTAAGTGAAGTAAAGTTTATTGCGTATTCCAGTTCCTTACTTAGCTACTCTTGAAATAAATAAAATACCAACCTGTACATATTGAAGTCATCCAAGTCAGATATCATATGACATTCTGATGACAAAATCAGAATCAGATACTAATTTAGCAAGCTAATAGGTTTTATTGGGATTAGGAGAATGATTTACTCAAAGAGAAAAGAAGATCCAAAGGTCTCTTGCATATTTGTATTTTCTGCCAAGTGATACGACACTCAGGTCATCCATAGTGAACTTTGTATTGCCTAAATCGCTATGAGATGCTAATGTTATAAGGCATCAGGTTCTATTTGTCACGGGCAACCATATGTAATTTGAAAAGGGTGATTCCCACACACGCACTCAGATATATATATATATATATATATAGAGAGAGAGAGAGAGAGAGAGTGTGTGTGTGTCTGAAACTCACTTGCATAGATGTTAACTGATCTTGCCATGTCTTCTCATCAATTTCATTTTTGTCTCATATTGCTGCCTTTTTCTCTCGAGTTGCTTTATTTGTAGCTTTAAGTGGCATTTTCCTCTTTCTTCTTGTCTAATAAGGCCTCTGTTTTCAGAACTCGTCTTTGTAGATCAACTAAAACCGAGTATGGAACCATAATTTGATCCTGACAACAAAAAGACCGAATGCGTCTATCACGGTTCCCATGGAAATCACAATCTACCATTGAACTAGTAATATGAAATGGCAGGATAGCTTTATTAGATAACATTTTGGATTATGAGATACGCTATATCAAAATGCAGATCACCAAAACAGGATTGAGGACAGTGGCTAAGATAGTAAGAACAAAAATACCTTATTTTCTAGGTTTTTCACATTCCTTGCTTCCTCATTGAACTGTCTTTCTCTTTTGTCTATGGAATTGTAGTGCCTCCATGCCAACCAACCACGGATGCCTGAAATGCAAATTAGCCATCAAGGCATATTGCCTAACAACACAAATGAATTCTCATCCAAAATTCACATTTTCTTACTTGCTTGCAAGAATATTGCTGCCTGATCCTTTTCGTCTAACATGGTACTTCTGAGCTGACTTTTTACACATTTCTGTATGGCTCGAATGGCTCTCATTTTTTTCATGAAACATATTCTTGCATTTTCACCACGAACAACTGCAATGCAACACAAAATTGAGTTAGGGATCCCAAAGTGACGTTTTCTTGACTTCAAAAAGTTCTCAACATCGGCATTTTTGCACGTAATATGAAATTCCTGAGTTTTTCCACAATAGCTCTAAAGGACGTTCGGGACTAGCATCTTAGAAGAGATAAACATGAAAAAACTATTCTGAAGAAAAACATTCAGGCATTCTGAGTAGAAGAAAAGATGACAACACTTGCATGATTGCAATGTAATTACTCCTATTTTAAGCTCATCATACTGGCAGCAGGTTTGACGACCATGCAGGTGTTTCCCCAGCATCCACTGCAGTGCTATTTCCTTTGCCTCGTCAAAGTTACCAACCTAAAAGTTACTTATTTTGTATCAGAAAACAGAAAATGTTTGTAGAAGTAACTGATTCATAGAAAGTAAAAAAACATAAAAGCTAAAACAAGTCATGCATCAGACTTTTGTTTCTCGCGACAAAATCTCAAGAAAAATATTAGGATTGGAAAAGATGATTTCCATGTTCTTAGTCACGTTTGCAGTTCTTTGCCAGCAGCAGAGACAGTTTAGTGTTTGTAAATATCTCATGTTGTTAAAGTTTGCAGTAAATGATGGATGAGAACAAAAGGTGATCTTTTGATGATTAAATTGAATAGCTAGAACGAGAAACAAGTTATATCCATGTAACATAAAGATAATTCAACAAGTTATAAGACATGAATTTACCGAAGTATAAGTTAGATCCGATAAGGATCCTTTAAATACATAGATAAACATACTTCTTGTGGGATTGCCTTGTCCGTTCCCAGCAACAACAAAAACTTAGAATCACAGTCATTATGCCGTTTTTACTTGGATAATCTGTCTGACGACCAACGCTAAGGGCATCAGGCATGAAGATCACAATTTTAAAATTTCTGCTACTGTCGATAGTAATTAGGAATGAACGCATGTTCTTTTATCACAGCCTAAACAAGTAATCGAGAAAGAAATATAGTCTAATCCTTCACATTAAACTATATACACACCAAAAGAAAACTCAGACGGCCAACTTAAAAAATTAAACTGATGTATGCAGAAAGCAAGCTAATTGGAACGTGAGCAGCCAAAATTATCAGTGTATTAGCGCACTATACCTTATCTGCATTACCATTTTCATGGTTTCTGTGGCCACATCCCGCAAGTGAGCCATTCGCAGACTCAACTACAAATGCTGGTGCTCCCACATCAGCCCTTTCTGCAGACTCAAAAGAATCACCGCTCATTGCTCTTCTTCTCCCAATCATCCTCTCTTCACAACTTAAAGTGATATCTAGATCACTTTTCTGGGAGCTAAGTGATAGTTGCCTTCTTGACCGAGGCAGCCGAGCCCTGATCACTGGACGAGTTGGTAAAGCAGGAGGCTCATCCGCTGGCTGATCCTCCATTTGCTGGAGTTGTTTCAGCATAAGCTCGAGGGAGCTAGGAGTCACCATTGTGTTTGTTACAGGCATAGTTGATTACGACTGGTTCATAAAAATTTCAGACCTTGGCCATCACAAGTGTATATTTCCAGACAAAGTAACCAAATTCTTACACATGAAGACAAGGTTTGCTGACATATTCTTGGCTTTACTTGTAGATACAGAAAGCTAGCACAGTCATTTAACTACTTTTATTGGTGGAATAACAGTACAAGACTCAGAGTACTCCTGCATCTGTCACCTGCAAGAAATCTTGCTTTTTCCTGCTTTTGCTTTATCTGAATCTCAAATTTAAGGTGGGGCCCTGGTCCTGCAGCTTTGTTGATGCAAGAATAGTTGAAGTTCTGCTGAGTTAGGACCATAAACCCTATGCTAAATCAAATGAAAAGATGATGAACAGTTTTCCAAATTAGCTAATGTAAATCAGTATATATAAAGCTTCTTGCAGCACGAGTGTTTAACAAGTAGGGAGTGATTAAATGATTAGCAAGATAGCAAAACCTAATTATCTAATCCCACCTTTTTATTTTGATCAAAAAGAGGGAACTTAAATTATGAACGATCAACTTGTTTGATCATTGATGACCCCAATTAATTATATCTACATGTAGGTCATGTTCATCCTATCAGAACAGTTGCACTAATCTCTTAAATTTGAGTATGTTAAAGAGATATAGGGATTTGGGGGAGGTCTTTGGGGTTTTTGCAATCATCAATCACAATTGCATGGTACAACATACATGGTAACATAATAAACGTAAACATAAATATAATAATATACAAATGAGTTAATCTTGTATATACTAATACTATATATATAATGTCGATTGAATACATGATATATACGTAAATTTTAAATTTAAATTTAAATTATATATCATGCATCTAACGGTAACCGCACAATACACAGCATGATGGTAGAAGCGACTCGTAGCCTTAGGCCATATAATCTATATCCTAGAAGGTGGGGATAATGATGAAGAGGACCAAGAGGATTGCTTTGCATGACAGCATTATCATGGTTATTCGCTTTGGAAGCACCACTATCGTAGAAAACAAACAGTTTACATTATTGTCATTCAGTTTTCCATTCTTCATAATAAATTATCTCCTTCTTGACCCCTCAACTTCTTGTTCTTCTCAGATGGAGTGGGATTGGAAAACTCCTGTGTGCTTTGTCTTCATTGAAGGGTAAAATAATGAGAAAATAAGTGTCCGAGCATTTCATATGAAAAGGTGTCTCCTGTGTGGTGGCTCCATAACTGCAAAAGGAATGATGTCTTGTGAAAAGGATGCCACCATCAAAAGACTTGTCACATGGGGCAAATATTATTGATTTTCTATACCCGATGATGCTTTATCAACCCATATCTACCAGAACCACAAATTTAATTCCATAACCAATAAGTAGTGATAATTCCATAACCAATGCCCATCGGTGATTATATTAACCTTCGGAGCACATTCTCAAGTCGGATATCAAGATATGCAGCATGCAGTATGAGACACCATCCAAAACAATAGAAATAAAGCAAAGCTTATAGTGGCAGCCAGTCAAAGGTGGGGCTGATATATGGTCTCCAAAGCAAATAGGGGAATTAGGAGTCTCAAAATCTGAAAAAAAGATACAATTCTGTCCCACTAATTGCTTCTCGGCCATTTCAACTACAGGGCAAAAATAGAATAGTACTATTTATTAACAGTTAATTAGTCCAAGACTTCAAACCACCAACATTCTTTGTGTTTTTTCTTTTTCCTTTTTTTTTTCCCAAAAACAGCAGTATATTTTGCAACATATAGTTTGTTGCCTTTCCCTAACACGCGTCTAATGGTTGCGGATTAAGGGGACAGTAAACACAAGTATCTAATTGCAGAATCAATCACCTTATTAGAAAACTTTTGGGCTTTTCTTCCCCTTATTTGTCTGTGTTTTTTTTTTTTTTTTTTTGTCTGTGTATTTGGGTCACCTTATCTGTGAAGAACGCGGTTAATTAATAAAAAAAAAGGTTTCACAATATTAAGATTTAAAAGGCAGATGCAACCTTCTCTCTCTCTCTCTCTCTCTCTCTCTTTTATAGGCTGTAGAATCTGAACTCATGTAGTTCAGAAAACATTTTCTTTTAATGTAAATCAATGTAAGAGGTGAATGGAGTGGCAGGTTTTTTTTTATAGATAAGTGCGATGTTTTAAATCAGAATCTCATACTCATAATTTCTTCCACTTTATCACTCAACTCAATTATTACAATCTCTTTATTTTAGGGAAAATGACCGGTTTCATCCCTCACATTTCACAAAATTATTCTTTTCGTCCCTCACTTTTAAAACGAAACAATTTCATCCTTGACATTTAAAAACTGAAGTTATTACATCCCTGAACTCAATTTTCAATATGAATCAAACCATCTATCAACCTAATTACAAATTTTGGGGGTATAATTGGTAGATCACTTGACTAACTCAACTTGATATTCACGTGGAATTTAATGAAACCAAAAATAAAAAATAAAAAATTATAACATAAAAAAGAAGAATTAATCTTTCCTACATTGTCATTGTATACACTGATGGATTTATGTACCTGCCATATCATTTCAATTTAAATTTAAACACCAAATTTTGTATTTATGATATACATGTAGACTCACAAGCATATATACTAACGGTACATGAAAAGATTTACCCAAAAAAGAAATCCTATTATTCCAAGACAAAGAATGACCTTTTATGTTATACTTTTTAATTTTTTTGGTTCAATAAATGTCATGTGAATATGATCTATCAATTCTATCTCCGAAATTTATTACTGGGTTATTTGATGGTTTGATTCAAATTGACAATTAGGTTCAGGGATGTAATAGGTTTAATTTTTAAATGTCAGGGACCAAATTGCTTCGTTTTAAAAGTGAGGGACGAAAAAAATATTTTTGTGAAATGCTAGGAATGAAATAGGTCATTTTCCCTTTATTTTACCATCCAATTCAATTCAACCCTTTTTCCGAGAGCCAATTTATTTGTCATTATACTAGTGTGTTTTTAACTCTTAAGCCGGTCAATGGTCATGATGGAAGCAAATAATGACCACATACCAATAATCAAGGTTTGACTTTTCGCTTTAGTACAGTGGTCTTGCCCAAAACCCTAAACACTAAAACAGGCTTTTGGGTTGAATTTTAAACAAAAGAGAATATTTTGATCTGACAGGCACCGTACTAACTGCGGAAACAAATCAGACCTACGCTGCTCCTCTCCTAAAGCCCATGCAGTGGAACTCCAACAAGTAGGCTTTGACCAACCCTTCGTGGAAGTGGATCTGATACACTTCGTCACCTTTTTGTGGCAGCCCAAAAGGGTTCTGCCTAAGAAAATATTGGGCCTCAAAGCTATTCAATCTGCGGACGCACTCGTTAACAACGAGGCGGCATCGATAAATGCTTGTGCTGTAATCTTTTTTTTTTTATGAGGAAAAAATTTGTGTGGATTCATCTTCTATCAATATCAAAATATACCCCCAAAATTGAATTCACTTGCGAAAGTTCTTACATATCATTCGCCAATACAACCCTCGTATTGACAGTGAAATAAATTAATCTGTTCTTACCAATTAAAGATATCTCACAAATACTAACTTTTCAATTTTCTTCTAAAAATAAAAGTATATTCACCAGTCTAAAATATTTTCAACAAGTCAAATAAAATTTACAAGTTCGGTGATATGCACAAGTTAACATAGGAAAGCTTCAACCAAGTGCTTAAGTTTGGCCACTCATAGGTTTGAGTGTTCATATTTCCCTTGCAATAGATTTAGGGTGCGTTAGATAAAATTGAATTTTGAAGTCTAAAATCTAAACTTTGTATGCATTAAATTAGTGAATTGTTAAGTATTAAATTTCATACATTTAAATATATATTACATTAAGTGCTAAATTAATAGCTTATCACTTATTTTTTGAAACAAATTTTGCCTAAAAAATTTAGTAGCGTTTAATTAATTATAATATTCTAGTTTTGGTTATCAAATGCATCTAAACGTGTTAGAATCTGAGTTCATTAAATTTAAACATTGAATTAGGTTATCAAACGGCACCTTAATCTAGAAAATGCAAAAATGATACTACTATCATGGTCAAAAATTGGAAGTTCGGTTCCCATCTCGTCAATTTATTCACTTATTTATCTGTTTATTTGATAAACTCGTCAAGCTAACACAAGAAAGTGCAAAATTAGCACTACTTTGCTATCCAGGCAGGATTTCACATTTTCACTCCGTCTGATTTCATTCTTCAATATACAGTTTGAGTCCTCCTAAATGTTTATACAGTAGAAGTAGGTTGTCATCTTTGTTTAAAAACCACCAGAAAAAAAAAAAAGAATAAGAAAAGGTTTGTAGCTTTCTCTATAACAAAATAGATATGGACCATTTTAGGTTTAGCCCAATCAAATTTTTAGAATAGTACTGTGACATTTTTTGCGATGCAATCGATGTGAGATAAAAAAAAATAATAAATTTGTAATGTGATAAAAATATTTTTTTTAAAAAAATTACTATCCAAACATGACCACTTCGAATTTGATCAATTGGGAATCGTAATCATCAGCAAGTGAATGGATCTTATTTGGACTTTAGTGGTTCAACAGAAATTTGGCACTTGATAATCGCAAAATAATAAATATTAGGTTTGTTCCTCTTGGTCACTGTTACAGCTATGATTTTTTTTTTCTTTTTTTTTTTTGGGGACAACCTATATATGATAGTACTGCTAAGTGCCAATTAAGTAAATAGCTAAAATAAAATTAATAACAAAAAAACAACGGATCAATAATCGCCATTAATTGAACCTAGATACGGGCAGACTGTTCTTTCAAACAATAGATATATTTTCTTAATGCCCTTTTAAGCATTATTGATTAGCCATTGGCACCCTAAACTTCAACGGTTGATCGATTCTACCTTAAATTATCAAATTTGTTGCATATTAATCAAATTTCATGGATTAGCGGATTTATCTTGCAGAATTTGTTGCCTAGCGTGTCCTCCCATACGCTTTCAACCTATATTACATGTCACCATAACAAACTAAATTAATAATTGTGTCACATTATTATTCGTGTCATTTGAAACATATGTTATAAGAAAATGGGAGACAAAGAATTTACTTGTTTTTAAGTACAATTGGGTAGGCTATTATAAATCAATAATTTGAGATCTTAAAATATGCAATTGATATTTAAAACAGATAAATCATGACTTTATAAATAGTTTAGAAAATACTTTTTCTTATTCAAGTATTAGAAAAAATTTTAATAGACTAGTATATGAACTCGACATCACTTTTTCTTGCATATTATCTATACTTTCATAATCATATGACTCTTGAATATATGACATGATTCAGAAATGAGGCCATACATTGATTGTCGGGTAATGTTTAATAAACTACAAGAAATTTATACCGAATTCCTCAAAAAAGGAAAAAAAACTTATACCGAATAAATCGAAGTATTGTCCCAAACTCCCAATAATTTGGGCGGGCTTTTGCAACCAACCAAACAAAAAATTAGGAAGCAAAGCAAGGCAAGGGGTAGATCAACCGGTTTTTTTAGAAAGCGTGGTCCTTAACAAAAATCGAAATTGGAATCGTCTTCCAGGGAATAGTAATAAATAGTGCTACCACATATGCTGCAGAAAAAGACAGACTTAACCCTAAACTCCATTTTCTCTGGCTTCTTCCTCTATCCTTTGTCCCTTTTCTGGAAAATTTCCGCTTGCATTTCTTTCCGTTACCCTAACAGAACCCTAATCGAGCAGCTAGGTTCCAAGATATCGACTGGGAATTTATCGCCGGCCACTTTAACCTTGAAACTTACTGGGCCGCTCAACTCTCCGTACTCATCAGACGGTAATATCATCGGTTTTTTTTTTTGCTATTTTTTTTAATGTTTTCTATACTTACCTGCCAGTTTTTTCATGTATTATTGAATCCATAACATTTTGAGATATCAATTCCCGAGTATTTTTGGCTATTTGTTGCTGATTGGATTGGAATCTTGGCCCTTTTTTTAATTCTAAATTTCGGCTAGTGGGCTTCTAGTTTTTATTACTAGAATACTTGAACTAGTTTTCTTGTGTCTGGCTTTTTCAATTAATCGATATATTTTGTTTTGTTGGAGGCAGTTTTCTGTCTAATTTGACGGTCAAATAAGAAGTGATTTTTTTAATAAATTTTCTTTTGTGGGTTTTGATGTTAACTGATTGCTAGCTATTTCAGTCATAATTATGGAACACCTTTTTTTTCTTCTCCTTTTGCCCATTTGGATTGATATATGAAACTAACGCAGGCATTTGAAGTTGCAAATCTATTCAAAATCAGAATCAACAGAAGATGGATTGGGGTAATGTTACTGCCTTCTTCTTTCCTCTTTAGAATTATGCTAGTCCTTGAACTAATTGCGATTTGGTACTCTTTAGGATTCTGTTGAGTGTTCATGTCTTTGCTTTAATAAATATCGTGTTCGTTCTGTATTTCAGATTTGATTTGCGCAATATTGATTCGCTGTAAATTTTCAATTCAGTTTGACGAGTGGCTATTTTTTAGATCTTTTCGTCGTAGATTGGAGTCAGCATGAGTATGGTTGACCGAAGTGTTATTCTTTGCTTAATGGTTGTGATATACCTTTTTTCGAGGGGGTTATAAGATGTAGTTTTGCTTCATCTTTATATGTTAATTCATGAATTGGCCATCTATTCCTTTAGACCAACTTATGGTATTTTCTTCATATTTCACGTGATGTGGTGTACTTGTTTGTGTTGTTGCCAAACAGTTATTTCATCTTGCTGACTTTGGAATTTGGTTAGAGTTGCAACTTATGCTTATCTAGGATTGGCTGTAAAATGTTCATTGTCCATTACCTTTTTTTTTGCATTTTTTTGTTAAATTGCACTGAGAAAATTCATGTCATTTTTAATATACTCTGTGACCACCAATATCTGCTCTTTCTTTATTAAGCTGTTGGTCATATGTTGTGTTTCAGAGGATGAACCTATTCCGGATATTTTGATAAAGGAACAACCTAAAACTAAAAGTTTGTGGGATGATGAAGACGTAGATGACAATGACGTGAAAGAGTCTTGGGAAGATGAAGATGAGCCTGCTGCGGTATTTTTGTTTTCTTTCTCTGTTCTGTTCAATCAGATGTAAGATATATTCAGGTGTTGAATTAGAATGAGGGAATGCCACCTTAGCTAAACCATATGCACAAAATTCCAGATAATTGTTTGTTCCATTACTTAGCATGAGTTGTAACTGCATTCTTGATTTTTCTTAGTTATGTACTTTTGTCTTCTATCATTGAAGATTCTTCTAACCTGCTTCCAGTGGGATCTGTATTAAGTTGCTTGAGTTATGATACTATCTTTTGCGTTTATTGATATGTTTTCCACTTGAGTGCTTAGTTATCTTTAAAAACCGATTTAGTTCACCCTTGTGCTGCAAAATGCAATTTATTGTTTTTTATGTTCAAGCTAATCACTGATTGAGCTTTATTGGATTTACACACGTTTTGAACAAAATTGTATCTTTGAAGAAAGATCCAAACTTCACACCAGAATAAGAACTGTACAGCTTCGGGTTAGATTCGACTGATTTATGTATTCGCCTCTGCACTTCTGTCTTATACCCATCTTCAGGGAGTGGTCTCGAGTGGTCTCTGCTTTATGCATTATTGAAGTTGACTTACTAGGAAGGAATGTGTCCAGTGGACAAGTTTAACCTATAACCTTTTCTCCCAACTCGAAGAGTAAAACTTTTGGTGCTATCGTAGTACTTTTACCAGTAGATATCGATGGAAACATATCGTAGGATCTTCTGCTTTTGTTACCCTCTTCCATCAGCAAGTTTCTTGATGTTGTAAGAATAGGTGACATGCGGCCATGTAGGTCCAAATGCTGCATGATGAGTAGAGATCACCTTTTCATATCCAACTTGATCGTTGATTAGAATGAATAGATGATGCTTGTTGCTTAGAAAGCCAAAGCATGAGTTGCACCAAAAGCAGTTTTAGGTGACCGCTTTGGTACAAATGCTGCATGATGGCTACAGATCACCTTCCAATTTTTTCGTTCATTTGGCTTGCCAAACTAACTGATTGTCGCTAAGAAGAAGTAGATGACATTTTGTTACTTGGAAAGTTGAAGCATGAGTTGCACCAAAAGCAGTTATAGGTGTATGTAAAACTAATAAGTTGTCCTGAAAATTGCTTAAGATGGGATATCTTAGATTGGAATGGTTGTGTGCATCAAGAATTCAGAATTTTGACTGTAAATGGAGTTAAAACTTTCCAGTACATCGTTCCTAGAGCTTAAGTTAATCAATGTGTGGACTAGTCTATACGCGTGTTTGTACAGCATGTGGTTTAGGATGTTATGTCACTTGGGATGCATGATGTTTACAACAGTTGCTTTCGAATTGTTTATGTGCTTTATCTTGATGTATCAGGCACCCATAGTAGAACCACCTGCTGCAAAGGTCCCAAAGAAGCCAACAGCAAAATCAGGTGAGCAGAAAGAAAAGAAAGGGAAAGCTGCTGAAGTTGCAAAGGAGGAGCCACTAGATCCTGTAGAAGAAAAACTTCGCCAGCAAAGGTAATGTTTCTAAAATCTTACTTTTATTGTTTTCATAATTTCATAAATAAAGAGAGAGATGTATTTCAAGAATAAGCTTTTAAGGAAATAGAAAATGGGGCTTCAGAGATACAGAATTAGTTGGGTTGACAATGGTCTCCATTGTTGAAGGAGTAAACATGATGAAGTGTATTTTTTGGGCGAGTTCAATCATACTTGATCCTATTTTAGCTCTAGTGGAGTGGTAATGTAAGTGCAGGTTTGACTGCCACATGGAGTCTTTAAGTGGAAAAATTTGCTTTTTATGTTTAAATGGATCTTTTGTCTGAACCATACAGCAGGAGGTATTTAGTCTGGCTGTGGTCGGTCAACTGGAGTCTTACTGTCTGCTTGATTACTTCTAATTTCTTACTAAATGCACAGTAGATTTAGTGATACATGTACTTCAATCTGAAAAATATATTATATCATTGCAATGGGAGATAGTTTTTATTTATTTTCTTGAGACCATTGAAAAACAAATTTGTCTTGAGCTTATAAGCTAATTATGTTTTGTCATTTCTAAGGTCTTGTATACCGAATTGTTTGTTTTTTGAAATTCACAGTTTTGTGCATCCTCTCTTATTAGTTATTCTACTGTCTTGAAATTCACTGGTTGGTTTCTCTTTTTCTCCTCCATGTGATGATTGATGAAAATGAAATTAATAGTAATAACATTGGACATCAAGTCAAGGTATATGAAATTTTCTTAATCTATTGACTCATTTAAATTTTTGTCAGGGTAAATAACATTTGTGTGTGTGTGTATTTTTTTGGAAATATTCAAGATGCATATGTTGAAGAAGAAACAACAATGAAGAAAGAGCTAACTTTGTTTAAGTTATGGGTTATACGATAGGTTTTCTCACTGTGGGGCATCAATTAGTATACTTAGTGAGGGACAAATATAATCCTTTAATGAGCCTCTTCTACTGTAGGCGATGCAGATGGATTTACTAGAACCCAAACATCTTTCAATGGACATGAAGGACTTCTAAAATTAAGATTGTAGCATTCAAAGAAGTTAGAATAAAATGTATGTAAAATTATACATTATATGGTGTCAGCATGCTTGCTTTTGTTATGCTAGCTGAATCTTGCTTCCCCTGGATTTTAGCAGTGGAGAAAAATTCTGCTTTAGAGATGAACTTTTGAGCAGTAATTTTGTGTATGTTGCCCTATACCCTAAAGCATCCTTTTCCTGTGCCACTCTTTTCTTGAGAAAGGATATGCATTTCCTTCTTTGCAAATGGAGCCTGATGAAACCAAAAGAATTATCCCATCAGGATGGAATCTCAATATCTCATAAAGAAGCCATCATGGAGCAGTACACATGTATGGAACATAATTTGTGAATATTGTGACTTGCACATGCTCACAGTAACCTAATGAAGCATCATTCCGTCTCTTGTGCTTACTTGATCACTGGCCACTGAGTATTATGTTTTCAGTGTCTGTTCATTGGGTTTAAGTATTTCTATTGCAGGCTAGTAGAAGAAGCTGATTATAAGTCCACGACTGAGTTATTTGGTAAGAGAGGTGATGAGAAGACCCTGGACAATTTCATTCCCAAATCAGAAGGTGACTTTGCAGAATATGCAGAACTCATTTCCCACAAGCTGCGTCCTTATGAGGTCTGTTGAATTTGCTCTGGTTATGATTTCACCTTATTGTACGATTTGCTGACTCCTGATTCTGTGTTGCAACCAAATTGGGTTGATTGCAGAAAAGCTACCATTATATTGGTTTGCTCAAAGCTGTAATGAGATTATCAATGACTTCACTGAAAGGGGCGGATGCCAAGGATGTAGCCTCTTCAGTCACTGCAATTGCAAATGAAAAGATAAAAGCCGAAAAAGAAGCAAATGCTGGGAAGAAGAAGACAGGAGGTATGTTGGTCATTGTCTTCTGGTTTGTTGTAAAGTAAATTGGTTTTAAACTAGTGGTGGGTTGTGAGAGACTTTTTCTCATCCGCAGGTGCAAAGAAGAAACAGTTGCATGTTGATAAAGATGAAGATGTCGCGGTTGTTGATGCATATGATGGCTTTGATGATTATGATTTCATGTGAGCAAACTTTTGGCGGACCATGTTTAGATAGGCCGATTGTTGTCAACTTTTTGAGTGTTTCACACATAGAATTTTAGGATCTTGCATATACAAAGTGGAGGAGGATGATCCTGCGGCCTGTTTTCTCTCCGAATTGAGGAGACTGATTGAGTGCCATATTGTTGTCTTTTGAATAAAAAGTTTTTAAATAATTTTGATCAGTTTATCTTCTTTGTCCTACTGCTTGCTTACTGGATCGAAGGATTGTTTGCGGAAGCTCGAGGAAGTATTTATATGTTGTTACAGTAGTAAATATAATTGTGAAGTCAACTGTTAAGCATATGTTTCTGCAGTTGTTGCTTTACCTATGATTTACGTCTTTTCCTCACTGGATCTGTATTTTGCATTAGCCTTGAGCTACATACAAAATGTTTGACTTCAATGGGTGCAAACGTTATCAATGTTTAAGCAAGTACTGGGTGTTAATGTGTTTGTAGTTTTTCGTATGAACTATGATGAATTTGCATGGGGGTGTTTTTGAAAAATTAGTTTTTTAAATATAATAAATTTTTTTTTAAAAGTACTTTAAAAGATAATCTAACAATTAGTTTAAATTTTTTTAAAATTTTTAAAATATCTCAAAATATATTCTAGAAATTCTTTTAATTTTAAATATCTCAAAATATAATTTAAAAATTCTGTTACAGTAAAATTTTTTAAAAATATTCTCAAAAACAGCTAATCCAAATGGATGGTTTTTAGCTTATAGGACTTATGTGCAGCTACAACTACGCACCCCAGCTACAACTACGACGGATGCCTCGTATCTGTAGTCTCCTCTCAGCCATTGCTGACTTTTGTAAAATCTTGAACTTTTTGTAAATTTCCGAGCATAATGAGATGACTTTTTTGCTGACTTTTTGTAAATTTTTTTTGTAGTTTGTCTAAAATGACGAGAAAAGTCATCTAGTGTATATGAGGAGAAGAGTTCAAACTTAAAAGGGCCTGGTAGACTTGTTACGGCTACTAAGTCCCCTGGGTGAGGTTTGTTGATAAGGTTAAGAAGCAGCTTAACGTAAGCATTTCGTGAATGAGAACAATGCGGAACGTTGGGCCCAATAACAAAAAAGACCAAAAGGTAATTGCTCTGTTGGGCCCACTTCCGTTTGGAGTTGTGTTTGGATTGAAGATTATTTCACCTTATTTACATCTTATTTACATATACTGATTTGCTTGCATTATCAATATATTTTTTAATCACCTTTTTATTTCACATACATCATATCAAAAACAGTGCTACAGTACTTTTTCACAAAATTATCTCAAATAATTTACAACCCAAACAACGCGAGTATTTTACTAAAGAAAAACATAACCACACAAAAGATCCACTCCCAAACATATTAGTATTCTACGAGTAGACCAATTCACCAGATGTTGGCGCCATAATGGTTACACTTTCTATGTAGTATATAGGAATAGGACCTTTCCAAATTAAAGGAGGTAACTCAAATTGGGCTAATTGATTAGAATATTGGTGTATAAAAGAAAAGTCAGACACTTGCGGGTCTGACAGGGGCGTTGTATAAATCTATGGGTGCCGGGCCGTGTCAGCCCGGCACCTGACACCAAAATTTTTTTTTTTTTTTTTATAGTTGACACATGGGTGCCGGGCTGTGTCAGCCCGACACCTGACAAAGTCTGCAAAAGCTGGCTGCCGGGCACTCTCTGCTCGGCAGCCAGTCAAATTGTTAAAAAAAAAAATTCGGCAGGCTGAAAAAAAAGCTGGCTGCCAGTGAAATTGTTTAGAAAAAAAAAATGCGAAACAAGGTACTAAACTATAGAGCCTTCTTTTTGTTGGGGAAGAAAGAGAGGGGTTACAGGGGCACTGTTGGATATACGTAGAGGCGGTAGGGAGTTGGGAATGGAAGCTAAATTGCGGAGGAAAGAAAGCTCCTGTTAAGTGAAAAGAAGCTCAGCAATTTGTTAAGTGAAAAGAAGGCAGCTCCTGTGAAGCAAAAAAGCTGAACCAAAAGAAAAATTTACGTACGATAACTGTTAGCCATTTAGTCCGGGTAATTTAAATATTTGAAATAATACCTATGCTAATAAAATAAATATATAAAATTAATGTAATTAGCATAGCTTAATTTCGAAACTAGTGATATTAGTTTAATGCAATTCATTTTTTGTTAAGATAGTTGATAATTAGTTTACGTTATGTAGTATACAATTATTTTAATTAGTTTAGTGGATTAATTAGTTTAATTAATTGAATGAATTAATTTTAAGAGGTCTGATTAAATGAATTTAGATGTATTTGGCGAGGTTAATTAATTGAATGGATTAATTGAACGAATTTGTGCAATTGAGTTTTGATTAAGATAGCTATTTAGTCGGGGCAATTTAAGTATTTGAAATAATATCCATGCTAATAAAATAAATACATAAAATTAATGTAATTCGCATAGCTTAATTTCGAAACTAGTGATATTAGTTTAATGCGATTCACTTTATTTGTTAAGATAGTTGATAATTAGTTTACGTTTTTTAGTATACAATTATTTTAATTATTTTAGTGGATTAATTAGTTTAATTAATTGAATGAATTAATTTAAAGAGATTTGATTAAATGTATTTAATTAAGGTGCTGGGCTGACCCAGTCCGGCACCTGACATCTTTTTTTTTTTAAAAAAGGCACCTGATATCTTTTTTAAAAATAGGGAATCTGTCAGGTGCCAGGCTGATATCTTTTTTTAAAAAAAGGAACATATCTGTTGTTTTTAAACCTGTCTGATTTTTTTTTTACACCTATATTCTAATCAATTAGCCACAGAAGAATGCATTTCTGACAATATTCTTCCATCCACGGAATTAAAGTGGAGGTAAGAATTAAACATTGGTTACATTTCTATGGTGGAAAGTTCACTTTTCTGCGCACAATAAGCAGAAGCAACGCAAATGTGGAGATGCATAAAGAAGTATATTGGACACTCGAAAAAACGAATTATGCATGGATGAAAAATATTATATATATTAAAATTATAATAAAAGTCCTTTTAAAAATTTATTCATTATTTAATGTTCAATACTTTATTTGGTATATTAAAATAATTAATTAAATATTCTATTATATTATAAGTAACTATATAACGTTAAGTCGATTGAATAATATGTAAGCAGTTATTGTTTCACGACCTGCTAAAGTCTAATGGAGCATAGTTTTTTTGTCCAATCGTACGTAAATTTTTCTTTTGGTTCAGCTTTTTTGCTTCACGGGAGCTGCCAGACATTTTTTGTTTTGTCCACAAGCCTGCCAAAAGGGGCAAATTTGAAGCAAAAAAGTGTGAAAAATTCACGAGAGCTACTTTGTCTGAATTGCATTGAAGCCTGCCGATTTTTTTTTTTAACAATTTGACTGGCTGCCGGGCAAAGAGTGCCCGGCAGCCAGCTTTTGCAGTCTTTGTCAGGTGCCGGGCTGTCTTTTATAAAAAAAAAAATTTTTTTTTGTGTCAGGTGCCGGGCTGTGTCAGCCCGGCACCCATAGATGTACACAGCCCGGCACCCATAGATATATACAGAACTCCTGTCAGACCCGTAAGTGTCTGAATATTTTTTTTCCACCTATATTCTAATCAATTAGCCCTCAAATTGAGGGCACAAAATAGAATATCAGAGGCTTTGGGGACCAGGATGTGATATGCCAGAAGTGAAAGACTACCACACAGAGAATTCACAATTCTCAAAAGCCCGCCACCTCCATTTTCAGCCTTCTCTCGGGTTGAAGTTGGGGAGTCTTGGGACCCCAAAAGACCAAAAGCCTTGGCATTTTGGACAACACAACCCAATGGAAACAGATGAAGCTCAGGGAATTACAGTACCCTTCCAGCTACAATTCGACAAACCCATTGCTTCTCAGGTCCACTTTCTTTCACTACACTTCACTATAAACCCACGGACACTTGCAAGTTTATTCCATTTTTTCCCCTACTTATTGTTCTGAGAAAAGATTGTATTTTTATCGAGCTTTTGTATAGATTAAAATTGCTGAATGGAACCCAGAAAAAGATTTGCTAGCCATGGTCACAGAGGACTCAAAACTCCTCCTCCATCGTTTTAATTGGCAGAGACTTTGGACCATTTCCCCCGGTATACATTTAAATCCCCACTTTTTATCTATTGATTTATTTATATCTTTTGCTTTTAACATTTTCATCTATCCACTTTCACTCTCCTTTTATGTACTAAGTTGGGGCCTAAAAGATTATGCGCGAATAAATTTCGCCAAAGAAGTTGTTGGAATTTCCCAGTTATGGATTTTTTAAATGCACTGTTAGTTCAAGTTATAAACTTAAAATTAAGCGAGTTAGCGTCAGTTTAAATTTTCGAACTTTAGGCTTTTCAAGGTGGATCAGTTGACTAATTGTATGACGAACTACATTACTTTGGGCCGTTAGACTGATTTAATGTTCATTTCTTGGAAATGAATGATAAGTGTTCGATAGAATGTCTGGTAGTAGCCTGCTTTTACTTGTCCCTTTTTGCTTGAGATGTTCAAGAAATTATGTCGTATCTAATAGTGTAATTGTTAGGTATAATGTGGTAAGGAATCTAACATTTTTCTTTCTGAAGCTTATATGAAAAGGAGCTGTTTTTGTTTAGTCTTCATTAATTATTTTCTCTCATCTCTTGAGAACTATCAATCATAATTCTTCAATTTTGTGATGGACAAACTATTACTAGACACAGGCAAAAAAAAAATTTTGCAAAGCAAACTACACGTGGAAAACGTGAGACCCTGATCAATTCAACAAATTAATTTCTAGGATTTGCTTCAGCCGTTTATATGGGAAATAAAGCTGGTATGTCAATAATCAAATCTTTTCTGAATTGGAGTATACAAGGAAAAAAAGGCATAATTATCTTACAACTCTTCGAAGAATGGGCTCTAGCGATGAGCAAAGTTTCTGCAGACTGTCCACCTTTAGAGCTTCAACAATAACACTGCATAAACCATTTGTAGTTTTCCCTCATAAAGCAGTTTATAAACCAGGAATGCTTTGCAAGGTTGAGATAAAGGCTTAAACTTTCGGCAGTTAAAATTCTCAACTTCTCTGACATTTATTCAGTGATAAAGACAGATAAGTATACTGCAGGATTTCTTTGCCAGTGTGTCAATTCATACTTGAAAGAGGGTTAATTTACAAGAGCAGGCAAAAGTGTACAAAAAGGAATATGGCAGGCAGCATACTAGAGTTTGTCAACCTTGGAAGTATTGGAGCAGTCTGGCCTACTCTAAAATATATGATGGGAAGTTACTTATAAATTTCTTTTGAAAGAACCACCGTGAT